TTATGTTCTTTTAATATTTCATTGTTCTTTATTTGTAGTAAGGCTCATTTTTAAACTGTGCGCAAAAGTGCATTTCTACCTAAGTGGTAATAAAATCATTAGGTTTGGTCTTAGCGGTGACTGAAAACCCGCAAATATTTCTTTATGTTTATAGAATAATTCTAGTTTTTCTCTGTGTGATTCTGGTAGCAATGTATATTTCTATGCGGGTGAGTATGTGTGTGTGTACATACGTGTAGTAGACATTATGTTTATTGCTTTTTAGAATGTTGATATGGGAACAATTTTACGTACATATCATTTCTTTTCGATAAAAACAGATAAATGATATTAACAAGTACAAACACAGATCAAAAACATTATATTAAATTACCAGCCTTTATTAAACACAAACACACACACACACACACACATATATATTTATATATATATATACATATTATGTCATTCTCAAACAGTACTGTTTCGCAGATCAAGCCCGGATCGAAACCCAACCAACTGGCTATCAGTTATAGCTTCTACCACTGAGCGATTTTCAATTTACGGAGCGAATCGACCAAATCTAGCATATTGTTTGTACAAACGTAAACAAACTCCAAGCAGCCATAGTGCTCCATTCATTTTACTGAAGAGCTTCGCATTTACGCAGGTGACCGTTGTTTTTAAAATTAACTTGTGATTCAACAGTGCTCAGTTGAAAATATAGAGCTGAATTCTTTCTTATTACTTATATAATAATAATAATTAGAAGAAGAAGAAGAAGAAGAAAAAGAAGAAGAAAGAACAGTGATATATAAATCACAGTTCTTAGCTTTTATTTAAAAAAAAACAAAAACTTGCTTAATAAGATCCGTAAAGTTTAATATTTTAATTATTTCTTTTATAATTATTTTGGGCGATGGAATCATATTTTTAAAAAATAATTTTATATAAAATATATATATATATATATATATATATATATATATATATATATATATATATATATACGTGTTTAACAGCAATATTTTTCAATAGTATATTAAGTTTTGATCCGCTGTATCCTGGAAATGATTAAAGATATCTTATTGGAATTTTCCGAGATTTTTATAACACTATTGGTCTCGACGTTGACCAATAAGTATGTATTTAGCTCGAAGTTGAAATGATGATACCTCTTGTTAAAGTAACGCCCTGATCCATCTTTCCTCTCTACTGTTCCCTTTTGTTTAACATCCAACGTTCTCTTGATGATTCAGGAATGGGATTTGAACATGGAAGGCCTGAATGATCATATTCCTCTCACCACTGCCCAGTAGAGAAGCCTTAGTCGGGCTGACACAAAACGATTTTAACTTGTTCCCTTTCTCGCTGAATAATGTAACGGGTTTTTCAGTGATTCTTACGACAAATGGTATCAAGATAGCTAACCGTCTTATCTGAAAAGCTAAAACAAAGAAAATCAGTTAGTTTCCTGGGTTATTAGATATTAAACATTATGTAGCAGGGACAAGGATCTAATGTTTGTGCACGATTTGGACAATTTTGCTGTTACACAGCACACTCACTCACACACACACTCACACACACATACGCACATGTATGACAAAGTAGGAAACATTTTACGACGATACCCTACTGTATAAAAAACGCGTAAGAAATGTTTTCTAAAATTTATGATATATTTGCCGACCAATATATATATATATATATATATATATATATATATATATATGGTCCTCGCTTGGAAAAACCTTTGATATTTCGTCATCGTAAAAGAAACCAGTACCCAAGGAAAAATGAGGAATAAAAAAAAGAACCAAGAACATAAAACAAAGGCGAAAAAATCCTCCGCAGTTCCAGCACAAAGTCTAAAGAAGAAAAAAAACTCCAAAATGAGTAAATGCAACTACATGAAGTGCTCAATACACGAAGTAGACCAAACCTAAGATAAACCTAAGGATCCAGGCAAACCTACCTAGGTTCCACCTAAACGGATCGTCAGGGCAATGCTGGCCGAAAAGGAAAATAATGGAACAGAATATATAGCTTAAACCAAAAACAACCATGGACATGACTCTTGTTAGTGACCTCCTGTTCAATGGATGGTGGATCAAGTTTTAAGAGATATAACAGAAAGACTAATTATATTGAGCTACGAAAGGAATGATGGAATGTCATCATTGCTGACGTTCTGAAAGGACTCGGCACATAACCAAAAGACAAAATTTATCGAGCTTCAAAGTATAGAAAATTGTAGAGAGCCTTGATTGCTAAGATTTTTGGCCGCCAAATCCATCACGCAAGAGGAGCCTGTGAAAAACGATAGAGTGAAGGACTGTTGCCGAAGAAGACGGAGAAGGAAAAGTTAATACATTCTGGTGAATATTCTTGTCTCGTGGACCTTTTACAGTAGAAAAACTGAAGTTCCTATTACACAAAAATTTTGCATTACGCAACATCTTTCAAAATTTCCATAAAACATACCTAAGAACAAATGCTTGTCGCATACATGAAATGTTATATTCTTTCTTTTATAAAGCATTGTGTTTTCGCATTTTGAAGATATCTTAAATTACAAAAACGCCATGAAATTGAAAAGAGACCGGTGGGAGGGGAAACAACGATGTAAGCTCTGTAATATTATTTTGATATATAATTTATAGTTATGCTTAACAAAGCGTATATATATATATATATATATATATATATATATATATATATATATATATATATATATATATATATGTTTGTTTGTGTGTGTATATATATATATATATATATATATATATATATATAAAGAAAGAACAGTAAGACATATAATCCGGTGTTCTTATAGATATTTTTATTTTTATAAAATATGCTCAATGTAAATTTACAATCATTCATACAAAAACAGATTAATGAAGTTTAATGATACAAATGGCGAGAATACATCTTCGCAAACAAATTTATTAAAATTACATTAACCCACGTACTTCTAGATGAATGTTGTGATCCCTGTTTTTAATAAATTCAACTTCTATAAGGGATTTTTTTGATAGTACTTTCATCTGTTCATACAGATATCATCAGGCATGGGAATTGATTTGTTTTTTCAAATCCATCGAGGAATAACGGGACACGAAAGATTAGATGTGAGTCGAAATATATTTTTTAGAAATGTGTTATTGTTAACTGTAAGAAATTTTGGAGCGTGCGGTCGCAACGCTAAAGTTGAATTTTTTGAAAAATTTTTAATAAAAATTTTGAAAATTTAAAAGAGAGTTCGTTTTTTTACCAATATGGTAATTGGAGAATTCTTTTGTTGTAGTAGTTTTTTTTCAGTCGGTGTGGCATGAACTAAATTGTTCAATAAATAGAGTAATGTCGCAGCTATTATCCTAATTTAGTTTATGTCACACGGACTTCTCTCCTACTAAACTTATAGTAGGTGGTAGAGTCTAACATAGACTCTTAGAGGGAGGACACCACAAAATTAACATACGCTCTAACCCATAAATATAACATAGCTTAAAACTATATTTTATCATTCATATATATATATATATATATATATATATATATATATATATATATATATATATATATAGAAAATATATACGGAAAAACAAACAAAAATCCTAATATGCAATTATGCTGTTTTAATGTTAATATAATGTCAACGTCGGACGTTTCGGTCTAGTAGACCATCTTCAGGACATATTCATAAGACATAATTAACATTAGACTATATTTAATTCAAAATGAAAAGACGATGGACATAAGAGTAAGACTAATCAAAACAGATAAACGAAACGTCCGACGTCGACATTATATTAAGATTAAAACAGCATAATTGGATATTAGGATTTATGCTTGTTTTTCCGTATATTTTTCTTCATACTGTCGGATCTATATCCATATATTTGCTTTTATATATATATATATATATATATATATATATATATATATAAGAAAATGATATACAATTTTTATTTAAATAAAATATTATATGAACGCAAAAGGGATTAGAAGACGACGCATTAAATGCAAAGGTTTTTCACTTTAATGTGTCTATTCATGCTATTTTAATTAAAAGAGCAATGGTATTGCCAAAACGAAAGTGCATAGAATGTTATTTAATCACTAGATCAACCACAGTAAAATTGCGTGTTGGTTCTTACGACATTTTACCATTCCTGGCAAATTATCACGTACATAATAGCATAAGAGGTACAAATATAATTAACAGAAAGTGGAAATGTTTTCCACTTGTTCATTAATTTTACTAATATATATATATATATATATATATATATATATATAGGACTTTTTGATTATGTGAGAGCTCAGTGTATAATACTGAGAAAATTATAATAATGTAGTCAGCCCGATGAGAGGAATAGTTATACATCTAAATAAATTTATTGCTGACAGTAGATATTTAAGGGTTTTCCTAATTTTAAATATATATATATATATATATATATATATATATACTGTTATGACATGATTTGACGCTTTTAGAATCTATATCGACACACATACATAATCTCAAACAAAGTATTCATAGCAATATATATATCTGCATATACACGTGTGTAAGTATTTTTTTGTGCGTGTGTGTATATAAATGTGCAAGGGGTCATATGAACAATGTCGCATAGAACATGACTACATCGATGTTTTGTACATGGAATTTGACATTATGTAAAATATCTACGTAAATTTGACATATTATGTAATAAATCTGAGTAAAAAAAATGTCTATCAAGGCGAAATACAAGAGAAATTCATGCATAAAATATGAACAAATCAACGTTAAAGTAATTGGCTTATCGATCGGAAGAAGCGATATTACTTACATAGTGATTATCGGAGAGAATTCTTTCCCTGGTATCTCTATGTATCCAGGATTGACAAGAAAACAGAAACAAACACGTGCACCGGAACAGGATCGATAGAAGGCTTCCTATGCAAGAGAAACGACCACATCATTATTTCAGCTATACATTTGTTTTTGTTTTTTTCTAATTTAA